AATTTTACTACGACACGTGTTTCTGGTCTCGCGACCGTCTTCAGGTAAAAGTGGAGATTTCTACATATTATTAAAAATAATTAATTTTTCTTCATGTTCAATGTGAAATGTTCTCGATATGAGACATTCTCTGTTTGAAATTGGATCGTTATTACGATTCCAATGTAATAAAATATAACCAAGGAATATTAGTGTTTGAGCCTTTTTAAATATATATATATATATATAGTATTCGACTTATATTGAATCCCTAAATTATTTGTGAAGAAGTTGAATATTTAAATTGCTAAACATTTAAAATACTATCAGACGTTAAAATCTGTTTCTTATCTAAATTGCTAAAGCTATATCACCCCTCGCCTTCCTCCAAAAACATCTCTTATCTCAACTTCCCTCTTTTTTCCTCTTTTTCTTTTCCCATATCATTTCCGTTGAGTTGACTGATGAAATAGGTCAATGTCTGATACTTACAACTCCTTCCCCAATATTAAGCATTAATGTATTATAAAAAGAAATATTAAAATAAATTTTAAAACTCTCTCTTCCGTCTCTAAACTCGACCATGTCTCTCACAATATTACTCACTCACCACCTTCTATGTCAAATTATATAAGCTTAATACTGCCCGTCAAAAGTGTAAATTCAAAATTCATTTTTCGTTTCGAATGTGAAGTCTGAAGATCGAGAAAAATAAAATTCTCTGGTGAAATAAATTATTATAAATGGAGCCTTAAAGTGGTCTGTTTTTTTTTGTTTTTTTTTAAATTAAATTATTTCAAACCGCTCTTTAATAAGCTTTCGTCAGCCACTCAGTACTTGTCTCCGGAGCGCTTATTTATGTATTTTTTCAAACCCAGTCTCTGGTACGCACATTGTTAATGGGAGTGGGTTTGTGTTAGCAATTGGTGGGGGCATCAGGTATCTTATCTCGGGGGAAGCGGTCTGGGTTCGGAGTTATGGGTATGGCTAGGATCGCTCCGAAGGTCTGGGTATGGCTAGGATCACTCTGAAGGTCTGGGTATGGCTAGGATCGCTCCGAAGGTCTGGGTATGGCTAGGATCGCTTCGAAGGTCTGGGTATGGCGAGGATCGCTCGGAAGATAAGTAGCTGACGAAAGCTTGTTAAAGAATGGTTTGAAATAGTCTATTCCTATGTTGAGGTAATTTTTGTCCTTTGCTGTAATATATATATATATATATATATATATATATATATATATATATATATATATATATGTATTACGATAAACGTGCAATCAATTTACAAATACATGAATTATTCACACAAAAACAAAAGCAAAGGTTAATGATTTAAATGGCGAGACATCCATCATCGCAAACAATTCAAATAATATACAAAAACCTCCGTATCCGTTATGAATGAAATGATCCTTGTTTATATAAATTTCTGCCGTATTAGTTCTTATTTTACTACAAGCTTTCGTCTGTTCCTACAGACATCTTCAGGTATAGAATAGATGTTGTTCTTGTTTTTTCTCTTAGTAATAAGAGGACAACGAAAATATATGTATTGTTGTATGCCGTAAGAATTTTAGCCGTTAACGATATAATTTAAAAAAAAAATCTAGACGACAGGCTTTAACGGAAGTTTGATTTCATTGAAAAATGCATCCCTTCCCACGACCCAAACGTAGCAATAACTGATACATTAAATTATAGATATATGAAAAACCCAGCCACCCCTGTCTAGAAAAATAGATTTATCTGTAACCTTGGAAACATGAATTTTGTTTTAGCTGTGTATTTAATACCCAGTAATTTTAAAAAGTTACTCCAAAATTCGCTTGAGGATGAAATGGAACTAATGTCTTTAATTTAATCACAAAATTAAATTCGTGGCTTTTAGCTTCCATTTTTGAAACATGGTTAGAACTGTGTAGCAAAAAGAACGTATTTTAAATCAAGTAATTTATAATATTAATACTCTGAAAATTTACATTGAGCACTATTTTGTAAAAAAAATAAAATATCTATAAGAACACCGGATTATATATCTTGCTGTTCTTTTCTTTTTATATATATTATATATATATATATATATATATATATATATATATATATATATATATATATATATATAGAAATGTAGGTATAAAATGTATATACAGTGTAACCTGGATATGAGACCCGGATATAAAGAGTAACCCGGATATAAGAGATTTTCTCTGGTCCCAAAGTGTTCCCATATTTACCTTAACAAAATAGACCAAACCCGGATATAGAGAAAACCGGATATAAGAGACTTCTTCTCCGGTCCCGACAACTCTCTTATATCCGGGTTACACTGTACATATATATAGGCACATATGTATACACACACACACACACATATATATATATATATATATATATATATATATATATATATATATATATATACACCCTATATTTACACACACACACACACACACACACACACACACACACACACACACATATATATATATATATATATATATATATATACATGTATAATAAACACCAATTATTTGTATTACATCTAAGAACGGTGTTTATGCAAGAGGGAGTTACCCCCTTGATATACACCGTGTTTACGTAAATTCAAATTATTTCAAATATTTTTTTAAATGTTCGTCTTTCGAACTTATGAATTTGGCCGATATAAATTATAAATAATTAATTTTAAATAATTAATTTAAATATTATAAAAAACAGAAATAAAATGAACAAGTTTTAACACAAAATTTTAAATCATCAGCATGAGAACGCGAAATTCATCACACGTAAATCCGAGCCTTGGTCTCGAGTTGGGATATGTATATTCACTAATATATACTTACTAGCTCTGTTATATAACACCTGAGAAAAAAATATATGTGTATGTGCAACTATATGTGTGTATACTTATGCTTTATCATACCTATAGGGGCAATCACCCCTGGTTTGTTAGCCGTCGTCTCATTATTTGATGTTCCCGCCTGGCTACGGGCCTACGTATGATAGCCATGATGGATTAGATGAGAAATCGGAGAAAATAATAAAACCTATAAATAATGAAATTTTTCTTTGTTTGTGTTATAGTGGAGTTTGTGTTATAGTGGGGGTGACTAAATATCGAGTTGGTCAGTCAGTCGACTGGCTGATCGATCGAACTCTCTGCCTTCGGGCGAGGAGGAACCCGAAAGAGGCTACGTCGAAGGCCGGATTCTCTTTCGGGGAGGTAAACCGACCCTGAACCCGTTTATACGGGTTCAATGGGCATATTTTTGGCCGAGCCCACGGGCTCTGAGATCCCACATTAAACCGGCCTTGTGCCACATGATGCCCTCGTGGGATGGGTGACTAAATATCGAGTTGGTCAGCCAGTCGATGCCGGACGACCGTTAGTCGGATACTAAAGTATCAGCGACCACAACTAGATTTCTCTGCGTCATTACCTATTATATCAAGTTCCTAAAGTTTTGTACGTCGAACCTATTTTAGGACCGACTTAGTGAAATACAAGCCTCCACTGTGAAAATTACACTACAACAATTTGTAAATCAGTTCAATTCTTCGTTTCTTTTTGTCATATTCATGATCACTTTGTGACAAAATCTGTCAAAACTACACCCTACCTCTATCTTCGAAAGTTCCTTATTTTTGGAAACAAAAATCAAATTAGTCAACCTCCGTTCACTTTGCGAACGTCTTTGTCTAAAGTACTAGAGACGATACACCCATGGGCGAATAAATATTATTATTGTCGGAAATAATGAAGACTAGTGAGTGGAGGGGTGACGTCAACCGGGGAATCCTAAGGCGCGAACGCCTCATTCTCCTCCGCTTTAGTAGTCTTTCATTTGGATTAGCAGAAGAGGTGAGGGAAGAGATATGCTATAAAAATCCCTTCACCTCATACTCGACAGGCTTTGGGGCCGACAGCGAAACAAGATGTTATTCTTGTTTCTGTCTGTTATTACTGTTGTTACCTGACCCTAGCAGAGAGGGTCGCAAAGAAAGGACGTTTCGTTTCGCAAGTCGATCTTTCACCAATTATCTCCACGCTGATCTTTTCAGTCGAATTTATTTTCGACATTATTAGTAATTATATTCCGCATGGTTTGTAACCGGAGGGCGGCTCGGATTGAGGAATCGGAGAGCCGAGTTCGAATTCCACTCGAATCCATTACATTCACTTACGTGCTAACACCCTTAGGAAAGATGTGAATCCTTTCTACTCCAGCCAGCTATGGTTAAATAGAAAGTCAGACCAGCCTTGGATTGCATTTGGTCTACCGCAGAAAGAAGTGGCAACCTACTGCGGAAAAAAAACTACTTCGTCAGTCACGTATCGAAAGATACATGATCGCGTAAGCGTGTATCACGTATGGCACATAAGTGACTGACCTGTGGAGTAATGGACAGCGGCTCGGATTGAGGAATCGGAGAGCCGAGTTCGAATTGCAGTCGAATCCATTACATTCACTTACGTGCTAATACTCTTGGAAAAAGGTAGGAATCTTCTTCTCCCCACCCCCAGATATGGGTAAATAGCAAGACAGACCAGCCTTGGATGGCAACTGGTCTAGCGCAGAAAGAAATGACAACCTACTGCGGGAAAAAATCTAGCTCGTCAGTCATGTATCGAAAGATACATGATCGCCTAAGCGTTATTACGCATGTCACATAACTGACTGACTACTAATATTGTATATATATTATAGTCGTAACATAGTATCTCATAGTCTTAATATAAACATTAATAACGTTTAATAGCAAAAAATAATATACCAAAAATAATGAAATAATATATTAAAAATAGTTTAATAATCATCTGGTTCTAATATGTACGATTCTTTTATTATTTTCTGTTTCGTATTTCCAATGCTCGATCGTTATATAAGCTTACTTTCAATGGCGCCGTTTACTAACGATGAGTAAATGAGTGCTTCGATCAAACTTCATTCGACGCCATTACTACCGGCAACATGCCGTTATATCATTGAGTCGTGATACAACAGGCATACGTGAACAGCGATGTGGTTAGTTTCTTTCTTGGTGTTAAATCTGTGTCTTTTTTTTCAGCTTTTCTTTCGTTATTTATTTTTTAAGGTTTCTTCCTTTATTTCTTCCATCCTTTTGATTAATGATTTTATTCCTTACTTGTCTTTCATTAGATTTTTTTATTTTTTATTTTTCGATTCTCATTATTTATTTATTTATTTATTGATGCTCTTTCACGCTTTCTGTCACGTTTCTTTCTTTCACACTTCTTTCTTTCGTTTTTCTTCTTTTTCCATCTTTCTTTCATTATCATCTATCTATCTATTTCATCTATTTCTGTCTTGTTTTCCATCTATCTTATCTATCGTTATATTTCTTTTTTTTTTTTTTTTTTTTAGATTTCCTTCCTTTTTCACTTTCTTTCGTCGTTTCTTTTTGCTGTGCTTCTTGCCTTTCTTATTCTCTAGATTTATTTATTACCATTCTTTCTTGATCTCTTTGTCTTTTCTTTTTTTTTTCTTTCTTTCTTTCTTTTTTTGTTCGTTTATTCATTCTTGCTTTCTTTTCCTGTTCACACTAACTGATTTCATTCATTACATTTACCCTGCTTTCCTTCAGTTTTATTTCAACCTGTTCTTTCTTTCTCTTTCTTTCTTTCTTTCTTTCTTTCTTTCTTTTTTTTTTTTCTTCGAATTTTTTATTTATAGTTTTTCGTTCGTTTCCATTCATTCTTTTCTTTCTTTTCCTTTTTGTTCTACTTTCTTTCTTTTTTTTTTCTTTTTCATTCTTTACATTTTACTTTTCTTTTTTTTCGTTCTATTTTTCAGTTTTATTTCTTCATTCTTGTTTTTTCGTTCTATTTTTCTTTCTTTCTTTCTTTTTCTTTCTTTCTTTTTCGAATTTTATCTATTTATTGTTTCTCTGCATGCTTTTTTTTCTTTACTCCTTTATTTCCTTTCTTTCTTTCTTTTTCCTATTTTTCTTTCTTTCTTTCCTTTTTCGTTCTATTTTCTTTCTTTTTCTTTTTTCGTTCTATTTTTTTCTTTCTTTTTTTTTTTTCTTCTTTCTTTCTTTCCTTCTTTCTTTATTTTCGAATTTTAACTATTTATTGTTTCTCTGCATGCTTTTTCTTACTCTTTATTTCCATTTCCATTAACTCCTTTTTCTTTCTTTCTTTTTTCGTTTATTTTTCTTTCTTTCTTTTTCTTTCTTTCTTCCTTTCGAATTTTAACTATTTATTGTTTCTCTGCATGCTTTTCTTTCTTTTATTTTCTTTTCTTTTTTCTTTCTTTCTTTCTTTCTTTTTTCGTTCTATTTTTCTTTCTTTTTTTTCTTTCTTTCTTTCTTCTTTCTTTCTTTCCTTCTTTCTTTCTTTCGAATTTTAACTATTTATTGTTTCTCTGCATGCTTTTCTTACTCTTTATTTCCATCTTCCATTAACTCCTTTTCTTTCTTTCTTTCTTTCTTTTTTCTTTCTTTCTTTCTTTCTTTCTTTTTTAACTCCCTTTTTCTTTCTCTATTATTTCTTCATTCTCCACTTCTCGCCTAATAAATCTACTCGTTTATTATTTATCCATTCTTTCTTTGTTTCCTATACTCACTTATTAATTTTATTCATTAACTGCCTCTCTTTCATGCATTACATCATTTTTATTTCAGTGCTTTTTTCATTCCTTTTACGTCTTTACTGTTTTCCTCCCTTTTATTCTTTATTTTCCCTTTTTCCCCTGAATGTTTTTATCCATTTATCTCCCTTTCATACTTTCATTCTTTCTTCCTTATTTCTTTCTTGCGTTCTTATTCGTTTTCCATTTTTGATTTTATCAACTTATTTCACCTTCATTCATCTTCAATGCATTTTCTTTCTTTCGTGTCATTGATACTTCTTTATTTCCTTTACGATTCTCGTTTACTAATTTTATCTATTTATCAATCTTCTTTCTTTTCTTTTCTTTTCTTCATCTTTTTTTTATGTCGTTTCTTTCTTTCTTTCTTTTCTTTCTTTCTTTTTTTCCCCCCTCGCAGCGAAAGCGTTATCTTTCTCATGCGTGTCTTCATCGCCGCCATCTTGTCTTATCCAAAGGAACAAACGACCTATGGTAGAAGAGAGATATCGGTGGGGGCATATCGCGTACAGTGTTGCGTGGCGCTGTCCGATGGAGAGGCTGGTTTTGATTGCGTTGTTATCTCGACTGACGGCATTTTGCCAATGAATGTCTTCGTTACGATCGGACCATCCGACTGGGCGGACGAGTTGATTAGTTTAGCACGGCCTTCTACATTTAGCTAATAGCATACATATGACAAGCAAGCAGCAATGAATAAGTAACGCGGTTTCATGGAATTTTAAGCACACACACAAACACACGGTAAAGAAGGAAAGGGATTGAGAATGCGTGAGAAAGAAAACATGAATGAATTGGGAGATGAAAAATAAATAAATAAACGGTGCTACTCAAGTTTAATGTTCTACTCGCAAAAAAGAAAAGAAATGAAGAATTTTTTCGAACAATTTTTGCAGATTAGAATACATTAGACTTTTCTTTGCCAAAATTCTTCAGAATCGAAAAAATATCGATTTTTTTAATCATTTTAGAAGAGTGTACATGTCCATAATATCCTATTATTGATGCATTTCTCTCCCACTTCGTTAATTCGCATGTGGGTTACGCCTTGCCAACACCTAAAGAATAATAGACTATTCTGTTTTGATCGCGTGGAAAGAGAAAGAGAGACATTACTTGATTTCAGTGAGAAAATGAGAGAAAGAAATAAAGAAAGAAAGAAGGAAAGAAAGAATGGAAGTGTAGAATAGAATAGAAGTCTTTAATGTCACCTGATAATCCCTCATACATAATGGACTGTTCCATTTTGATTGCATGGATAAACAAAGCACATATCGGAGACGCTACTTGGTTTCAGTGAGAAAATGAAAGAAAGAAAGAAAAAATGAAAGTCTAGAATAGAAGTGTTTAATGTCTTCTGCTAATCCCTCATAAATAATGGACTGTTCCTTTTTGATTGTATGGATAAACAAGCACATATCGGAGACGCTACTTTGTTTCAGTGAGAAAATGAAATAAATAAATAAATAAATAAATAAAGAAAGAAAGAAAGAAAGAAAGAAAGAAAGAAATAAAAAAAGAAAGAATGGAAGTGTAGAATAGAAGTCTTTAATGTCAACTGCCAATAAAATAATCGTAAATAATGGACTATTCCTTTCTGGGCGCATGGATAAACAAAAGGCATATCAGAGACGCTACTTGGTTTCAGTGAGAAAATGCAAGAAAGAAAGAAGGGAAGTGTAGAATAGTATAGAAATGTTTTTTATGTCTCCTGCCAATAACTCATAACTCATGATCTATTCCGTTTTGATTGTGTAGAAAAGCAAAAGGCATCTCAGAGACGCTACTTAGGTTCAGTGAGTAAAGGAATAAAAGAAAGAAAGAAACATACAAGCGTTTACCGTCTGTTTCAGTAAAAATGGAAAAAAATTCTCAATTTCAAATGTTTTCATTTGTATCCCCTTCTTAAAATAATGACCAGCATTCATATTTATGATTGTTATTGCAATATTTTGTTAAAGTTGTGAAGCTCAAATATTTAACAATGCGATAGGGGAATTTCTACGGATGTCTTCTTGTCGTTGAACTCGCCATGAGATTATTCAATCATTAACTTAAGAATTAATATTCATCAGAAAAGCCAAATAGGAAAACCATGAAGTTTTCACGAGACTTTCTACTAAATACAGTGTCAGATCGATCCTTGAAGTTTTGATGAGTTAACTGTACTTTCTTTTTATTTACAAATGACAAGTTTGAATCTGTTTATCATTGACAACAGCATAGCAATGATGCCCAGTCCTGGGTATGACGATAAACTACATCCGGCAGCAAGGTCTCTGATCAGGAAATTGGAGGTTTTGAGATGCGTGGAATCACCTCTTAATTGCTGTCGTTCCCAGGCCCACCCGGACACGGGTTGGTAGAACCTATTAGGCAAATAGTGAAACCCCCAATCAAAAATAAAACACTGTGAAACTAGACAAATACGTTATTATAGCAAAAATACCAGCAGTATATTTTCATATAATTTTTTTTTACCGACAACACCTATTGAAAGTAAAATTACCAACAACCCCTTTTGATAGTAAAATGAGCAATTTATCAAGAAAGAAAGAAGGGAAGTGTAGAATAGTATATTCTATTTATTTATTTATTTTCCATTTCACTGAAACAGACGGTAAACGCTTCTATGTTTCTTTCTTTCTTTTATTCCTTTATGTAGTTGAAGCCACAAAATTTTGTTCGAAATATTTATATTTCCGGATTAAATAACCCATAGAGGTTTTGATATGCTGCCAAAAAAATCAACTAAATAACCAATGACGTCGTACTTTATATTAATTCGTAATAAGCAAGTTCAAACTGTACGGCAATGCTTGCAATGACGGATGCACGGTAAACACGGGGCACTTTTACAATCAGGGATGTCACATGCAGTTGTAAAATCAATTGCATACTATTGTTATTCGTTTAAAATTAGTTTATACGTTTAAAATCGTAAAAAAAAAAAATAACGCCGACATTCGAAGGCTCATTAAAATAACGTAAGAAGGATTAGCAGACTGAAACAAAGAGTACAATATCGTACGAAATAGCATAAAATATGCCTTCAAAAAACTAAGCAAAGTAATAAGCAAGGGAAACATCTCGCTAGAAACAAAGAAAAGCGTGCTGAACTTTTATATAATATCAGGCCTCTTTTATGGCAGGGAATGTGGGATTTGATTGATTTGATTTGTTTAACCGCATATCAACTCCTTATAGGTCATTTAATGACGAAATTTAATTTTCTTGGAGCCTTGAATAAAAAAATATATGTTATTCTACTTTCGCAACTGAATACATGGTAGGTAATACTCAGCATTTTTGTATGCACATGTTTGTGTGGATATAATTACCAGAGGTGATTTTTATGTTGTAGATTTGTTGAAGTTATATTTTGGAAATGCAGTTTGATTTCTTTAAGGAATTGTAGGATATTATGCAGATTAATGTCGTGAGAGAGTTTTTTTTAGGTTTTGTCGTTTGTTTGTTTGTTTTTTGTTTAACGGCATATCAAAACCTCATTTGGGTTATTTAATTTAAATATTTTGAACACAGTTGTATGCTTTCAACTAAATATATTTTGAATGGAATTGTATGCATTCAAATACAGATAAATTGATTGTTGGTCATTTTGCTATTAAATGTATCGCAGATCATTTTGCTTTAAAATCTATCATTTGTAATTTTACTATAAATATGTATTGTTAGTAATTTTTAAAACATTTCTCATGGAATCATTTAGACAAGTTTTGTCTACTTATTTTCAAGAGGATCCTCTCATATTCATGGACAAGTTTCTTAGTATCCTTATTAAAGGAACAGTGAAAATTACGATGTTGATACATATTCATTTATTCCGAGTATTTTCGACATTAACACATCATCATCATCAGGGTGTTCTTTTCTTTCAGGCAAAAATGTTACGTGCATCTGAAAGTTAAACTATGAGGTGAAAAAAAAAAAACGCTAAGGTTACGTTCTATACGATTTAAAGTTTCACGATGTAAACGAAACTGTCAATTGATCTGACGTGCTATACCATTTATCTATAGAGAAGCGTTTGTTTAGTTGTTCAAATTACTGTTTTATATACACAATATTCGGTGAACGCATATTTTCTACGAAATTTCTCGAACGCACAGGCCGGTAAATGTAATTAACATTGTTTAATTAAAAAACAGATCATTTACTTAAATAATTTGTATCTTTAAAAATAACGAATAAACAGAAAATATATTAAATAATTATGGGACTTAATTCATTTCATTATATGTTGTCATTGTTTACGTCAAGATACGTTTCATGAGCAGATATGATCGATTGCTAGGAATCGTCGAAGATTGTGTGTTTAAAAACAGTAATTTGAACTTTGCTAACCAGCGTTTCTCTGTAGCTAATTGATGTAGCAAGTCAGTTCAAATGACGGTTTCCGTATAGGAATACAGGTTCGTTTCCTATCGGAGAACCTATATTTTCTATGAAATTTCTCGAATATTCAAGCCAGTAAATGTAATTATTAATACAAAAAACATCGAAAACACAGAACTTTACTTAAAAATTTTAAATCTATAAAAGTAACTTATGAACAGAAAATATATTAAATATTTGTGGGACTTAACCCATTTCATTATATATATATATAGCTGGCCACTCGTATTCAAGGATACCCGTCTACTATGGTGACTAGCCAATCCCTTTTGCAGACGTTTGCTCAGGCGCATTTGTGTTTATTCAACCCCCCACCCTCCGTGATTTATACTGCAAATATGCTG